GCGGCATCTTCATCGTCACTGGCAGTGTCGCTATCAGCAGCTAATTCCAATTTCCGAGGTCGTTTAGCAGGACCCCTTCCTCTAGAGCTTCTCGTGGTTCCTCGTTCCCGTTTACCACCAGATCCTGCGGAAGGATTAAGCCGTTGTGAGGTGGATGCACCCTGATTCTGGGGAGTCTGGGGAGCAGAAGTTTGTTGCTGTTGCGACGGTGGCGATTGTCCGGACGCTGAAGGTAGAGGGTGGGATTGACTGTCCTCTGTGCCAGTAAACGACGACGGGGACAGGGAAGACTGCATATTACCCATGTCAGGAGATGGAGTGAAGTTAGAAGCAGCCGATGCAGGGAACTGATCACCAGGCGGTGCATAGTGCGTGAACGTAAAAGTAGGCTGAGGCTGAGGCTGTTGCTGGACAGCAGGATTCTGAAAGTAGTAGACATCGGTTCCCTGCGGTGGCGGTTGCTGTTGGGCTTGTATCTGACGCTGTGGTTGCTGCATATATGCAGTCGATTGCTGATATCCGGGGTGTACCATCGCACCCCCTTGTATTTGATGCTGAGGGAGGTTATGAGCAGGTTGTGCGTATCCGACTGGGTGACCGATCCCTTGTTGAGACCGCGTCTGCTGTCCTGAATGTCCCTGGATGAACTGTTGTCCATAGGAATTGTCCTGGGACTCCATAGCGTGAGGAATATATTGTCCTTGAACATACCCATACTGATCTTGGGCTTGAGGGGGGATGACAGCTGTAGTCAACTCTCCCATAGGCGCCGTCGGTATTTGCGAGTGCATTGTGGTAGAGTAGGAGATATGCGAAACAGTAGGTTGATTGTCTGTTCCATAATTATACTGTGGATCTTGGTACGTATCAACCCAATGTTGATAACTGCCCGCAGACGGCGCGTTCTGTGGATCAACGTGATCAGGATCATAGAACATAGGAGGGGGACCAATCATTGCTGATTCTTGATGAGGTTGTGAAGCTCTGGTTCCGGGGTGTTTTTGGTTGGGTGCTGCGGTTTGAGGTGCAGAAGAAGAAGAGGATGAATCCGCGGTATAAGACCAGTTGATGTCGTAATTTGGTGTAGAGCCTACTTCGGGATCGCAAATATTGGGTGACAATTTAATAGTAATGAATCACGACAAGTCTGTGTGGTGTACGGTAACCAAATCAAAGCGTTACTAACCTGACGGTCGACCACGGCTCTCTCCCGTTCTCTGAATATGTGCAGTTGCGTTTACAGGATTTTGAAAGCCCTCCTGAGTAAATTGTTGCCTTGACTGCCCTTTATCTGAACGGTATTGAGAGGGATCAGCGTCGGAAGGATGCGACATCGACTTGGAGAAGCAATTGAAGGAATTTAAACAGGACGCCTGCACCCGTCAACCTTCCGAAATCAAGTAGACTTGAAAAGAGAAAATGAAAAAGGCGGCTGTGCTCGCGAAGGTCGTCGACGACGTTCGGAAGAGATGCTGGGCCGAGGAAAGAGCTGCTGCTCAAACAAGACCGAGATTGGCGTCAATATCGCTGCTACTTTTGACATGTAGACGCTGGCTCGTGGTGGACAGCATTTTGCGAAATTATGGGATGTCCACTCACCAACCTGCCAACGATTTGAGTGGAATTTGAAGATCGTAGTGCAGCAAGTGCGTCGAATTCGAGCTAGGTAAGTAGAGAATGAAGGGCCTTTGACAGACCAACCAGTGTCGCTTGAACGCCCAACAATTAAAGCCTTTAATCTTATCTGATAACCTTTACCCCCGCTCCTCCGACTGTAACTGGGGAAGTCGAAACATTACTCCTTGTTCATCAAACACTGCTTTCTTAGAGGTGACGATGGAGTCTGGAAATTTGCGGTGAGTTCAATGTGCATTGCACAGCTTGCAGGTTGGGAAAGTGGCTCGGAAATGAGCTAGGAGCAGCTGTTGCCATTGTAAGCATATTCCCGAAGTTTACTCAGCACAAACTACAATCGCGCTGCTTGAGAACAGCCGGACGATGTATACGTAGTCAGAACAGTTTCCAGATTTGAGCTCGCATTAATTGAAGGAGAGTGTTCATTCTTTGTTGAAAGATTGAAAGGGTAAAAAGAGTGCATTAAGAGGGAATCGAACCCCCGGCGGGTCGAGCGTTGCTGTGATGGCAACGACCCAGGTTACCACTACCCCATTAATGCTTGTGGAACAATTCCTATTAATTATAATTAATCATATTGGTGATGTCATGATACTGGTCATTACATTGTTGTCCGACTCGTCTCAGGCTTCAGCGGTCTAAGTTTCTGTTGAATTTGATACGACGTTTTCATATCCCAGGATAACAAGATGACACGGAGGAACTACAAGCTAAACTTGATACCATCGATATGAATTAATTGGGAGGTTCGTAGCATTGGTTGAAGTTGAAGTTTGTCCGGCGAGAATATACTTCAACTACGTACCATGAGAGTACTCTACATGTCGGTAATGCGAACCAATAAATCCAACAACGTCAGACTAAATGTCAATAACCTCCGCACCAAGCCAACTCGTGCTTGAAATCCCTGTCGAATGAATTAAAATGAAAATCAAAAGGCAATATAATTAATGTTTCATAGTCAAGGCACTTCATGAAACAACAATCCACTCACGGAATCTTGTGATGTAAAACCATGTTCGATATATTTCAGTATCACTTTCTGTTCCGTTTGAAGCTGATTTAAATTGGAGCAAAAAAAATCGAAGTGATCAACAAATCAAAATGGAAGAGTATGGACAAACATGTAGAATTCTTACCACACCAGTGAAATTGGTGAACTTCAAGAACACTTCCATGAAGTCATTGATCTGAGCCGAGGTATGGTCGAGGATAAGAGAGATGAAGGTCGTGTCACCATTGCTAACATAAAGTTTTTCTAGTGCTTGAATACGTTCGTACAATTTTCTCTTCTCTGTCAGGAGTTCTATTATTTTGAAGTCGGATATCATGAGGTTCTCACACAAGGAAATGAACGATTAATGTTAACATTACCTTCACAAGTGACCTGAGCCGTTTGAAAAACTTGACGGAAACTAGAATACTTTTCTATTGAAGTGGTCGAATCTACCTAGTAAAGGAACAAGGGAGAACATAAATAAATCGAACAAACCGCAGGCGATGATAGAGGAAGTACGAACCATGATACTCAAGACACTCTTTGGGAATACTTCTAAGAAATGATGAAGAACTCCACTCTTGAGGTCCAAATATTCTAGGATAGACGGAATCTGTAAGATTCATTTGGAATGAGTCCGAAGAGATTTAACGATCAACATCGAGCTACGCTCTTACCGCCGTGGTTAGTTTCCTGGATAACACGAGCAACAGGTCAATGAAAGATGAACACAAACAATTGAGATCTACAAAAAATTCTCACTCATAGATATGATATTTATTTTCGTCATAGGCATTCATTACCGCAGGTAATACGAGTCCTTCCAACCCAAAATCGGTATCGGGAATGCTACGCTCCTTTTTGTCAAATTTTGAATGGACCATTGAGTCAACGTACAGTACTCACCGACCAGAAGGACCCTCAGACAAAGTAGCTTTTGATATTTTGCCTTGATATGTTTCTAGTAAATCGTCGCAGATACTCCTAGTTTCTTCTCGTAGCTCTTCGATTAGTTTTAGATTTTCTTGTTCCATCTGTTCGTTCTGAATGGCACAAGCAAGCGAGTGAGTGACTTCTGGCGTTGTTATAAAAGTTATGAGACCTATATCGTTACTCACCAATTTCCATCCTCGAAAACCAGCAATCTTTTCCTCTGGTTGAAGTTCAGTAGATTCAAGATTTCGAATTGCTCTTTGAAAATCTGTGATGACCATGCCCATTCATGTCGATAATCTTCACTTGGAGATACGTATCCCGAAAAAAACTTTATGGACTCCGACGTACCATTCATAAAATCCTTCGAATACTCTGCTACTTTCATGCAGCCATCAATTGCTTTCGACAGTCTCTATCCCGGAAATATAACATCAACATCGCAAAGAAATAGATTGAATTTATAATATGAACGTATGTACCTTTCGAAAATGTTCAATAACATTAGGATCATCGTATATCGAAGCATTATGGGCCAAATGTTGATATAGATTATGGAAACGTATCAACCGTTGGTCAAGATCCTCTTTAGTATCTAAAAACTCTTCAAGTTCCAACGCTGAACAGAGCTTTATTGTGACGTTTTGACATGATGCAGTAATATTGTTGAACAACTCTGCGTATTGATCATCCATATTGCGATGTCTAGGAAGAAGCTGAAGAGGATAAGGAAGAGGGAAAGTTGAATATATGATGATTTTGTCAGTTAATGATTTGTTAGTAGCTGAGGTTTTATATCTCTAACCCTCACCGCAGAGAATCCATGAATACCTTCGGTAAATTTTCGGGTTCCATTGAATGGATGGATGCGAAGTAGAGAAACAGCTGGGAACTGTCAACATTCCTTTCTGACCAAACCTTGTAAGTGATTCAGATGAATTGAAGATGGAAGAGAGCTCTTCTGTACTAACATCGGTTGACTACACCTGCGCTTTGGTGTGACTAGTGGTCGATCGAAGTCAACTGAGAAATAATTTGAGATAATGGATTTCAATGACACTCTCAAAAGTGCCATTTTAGTTGTCTGCATAGTTGTTACCTGCGAGCAGTAATTACGGGTAGGTTGGGACGGCGGTGACTTTGGCGTAGATAGCCCGACTTCGAAGTATGTACCCTATATAAGTACACCATTGAGTAGAAAAATAGACAGGTTAGAGCTAGGCCCACGTACGGGTGACATTTCTTGGTCAATGTCAAAAGAACCTGACTACAGAAAAAGTGACTGAGGCTGTAGAATTTCCGTCAACTTGTACTAGTCGTGCAAACCATCGGTGACCTTTTCCGCTTTGTGGAAAATGATAGCAGTCTCAATACCGGCTTCTAAGTCAATATGTACGACGGGGGATACAAACATGCGACTGAGAAGAGGAAAAAAGGGTCCAACCGGGATTTGAACCCGGGATCCCTTGCAAGTAGTTAGAATCAACCCAAAGCAAGTATCTTGCCACTAGACCATTGGACCAGTACTGTATTCCGTCTCCGCGTTTCGTAGGGTTTTCTGTGTTTATAGTTTTTCGCGAGGATATCAATATGTCGATCTCAGGCTATAGCTTCGAGCTTGACTAAGGAGAAAGAGAACAAACTCTCTATTGTCTTCGACGCTTAGACGGTGACAAGCATAGCAACCTCACCGGGGAAAGATGATACTAGAACAAATCAAAACGAATCAGCTCTACAATTTCTTCGGAAGCAAGAACACCCATCCTAGTATCTTCACATCTTCTCCATTACTTCCAAAATACCTTTCGGTCTCATATACCCAATGAACAAACCCAACCATAAAAGATCGCAATCCTTTAATGTATGAATGAATGTCTTCTTCCATGATTGCTGAACCGAATTTCAGCGAAGAGAGGTCTTTCTCTAGCTTCTCAAACGTTCTGAGACTATTTTCGATTCGACCCCTCACGACGAAAACTGCGCGTTCCAATACGGCGACGTTTTCGGAATGAGATATGAGGACTGGAATAATGTTATGATTGTCATTCACGGCTTGTTGTCTGTTGTAATTTGCTAGATCCTGAGCGATGTCAAACAAAGAAGAAAGCCATGATGGATGAAACAGATACAGACCAGTACGTCCGAAACAGTGTCCAGGGCACATTCTCTGATTTCACTGAAGGTGGGATTGTTTACGACATCCTCTGGGAACCGAAACCCTTCAACATATTCAAGGAGGTCGAGTAACAATCTGACCCCAGATGAATCCTTTCTCATAGTCTCGTAAGCAGTTACTTCCAGTGTTGTACTGTTTGCGTTGCCTTGCAAAACGACATCCCTGTTTGTACGAAAGGAGGCCAAATCTTGCCGGAATTTGTTCTGCCATTCTGGAGAAGTCTCGCGGCACAGTGCTGACCATATTCTATACTTCGTTTCGTCAGCCTGCTGTTCTTCAATTTATATATACATTTATCCAAGGAAATCTAGGACTCACTCATCAAACACTTCATCGTACGGAAGATGATGCGCCACGTCGATCCAATGGATCAGGAGAACCAGAAATTTGGTCGCGACGAATAGTTGTGTATAATCGCAACTTGGATAGATCAATGAGGAGAGCAATCCAAGCTGAAGACCTGGTAATGAATCGCGTTCTGCTTGATTGAGAAATTGGACATTCCGGGACCACTCCTGTAAATTTCCTGTTACAGTTCGACAATGCCGGTTGGTATCAAGTTCAAAAGATGGTGAAAACAGAGCTGGGATATCAGGTAATTGAAAGCTTGAATCCTCAGACATGTGTTGGTTGACTCTACATAATTGACGGATTGAGCTCAAGAGAGTTCAACGAGTTACAGTATGATCCAAAACAACTATTTACCTCGATATAACTATAGTATCATTGTATTTCAAGTCGGATATGGTGTAGTGGCTAACATTATCGCCTCTCATAAAAATGCACGCGATAGCCCGGGGTTCAATTCCCCGTATCCGAATATATTTTTGCATTGCATTCGACTGGCAGTGGAGTCTACTCATTATTGTCATTTTCAGTAACTCAAGTGTCAACGAGATCTTTCTTCAAAACTGCCAACAACTTGTTGACTTCAAAAATCACATTGAATGATTTGCAATATTCCATTTGTACATTGAAGAGAGAGTCATGCATGGTAGGAAAGATAATGCGAGCAATACCTTCATAAGATGATAAAGACCTCGAGAAGAAAAGTTGAAACGCAAATAAATGAGAGGAAAGCCGGTCTAACACAAAAAGAAAGAAAAAAGCAAGACAGAACCCAGCGGGAAGGGAAAAAGAATGATATCAATCTCAAAGAATCAAGTAGTAAGTATGTGCCTCGTCGGAAGAGAAAGCGGATTCGAATAGTTGATGGAGTGGGACGTTCATGAACGTTGGAGAATTATCACACTACCTCGATTGAAAAAAAGATGAATAGTAAACTCGTAAGATTAGGAAAAATTGAGAACAAAACACGTAGGTAGGTGCGAGGGCAATGATCTTGATACCAAGAAGAAGAAAAGAAAATCAGAGACTGTAATGTAATGGATAAAAAAGTAGCATGTCACTAAAGCATTGTCATAGCTTTAATTCAGTAAGGACTCGTCGGGCCAGCATATGGTACTGCCATCCGTCGCCGCTCGCTCGCCGGAATTGAATTCCGTGTAATGGAAGCCAAGGTACCTGAGTGAAAAAAATCTGGTGAGTAGACGCACAATCATTAAGCTGAAGGCTGCAGACCTTCACAACATTAATCTCAAATCGAACTGCTAATGAGTTCGCGCCGATACTATCGAATACGTCTTGCCCCACCGGTCCTGTCGGGAATGGCGTTGTAGTGCTATTAGTTTGGTGAGCATAATCACGGGGTATAGGGGGTAATATTTTGGATGCAGCAGGGGAAGGTGAACGTGGTGGTTGAGGGTGGTCGTCAGGAGCGTCAAGGGTATCTGATCGTGCTGCCTCGGCAGCGTGGGCATGCGAAGAGACATGGAAGAAAGAGGAGGAAGCACTGCTTGGTGTCATACTGAGAATTGTACCTCCCGATGGTCGACTCGGTAACTCTTTTTCTTTACCGTTGCCCTCTTTGTGACTTTCTCTGTCTTTGTTCTTTCCGAACGAGATTTTGGACGTCTTCCGGTTAATGGATTTACGAGTTCCCTCTGTCTCTTGAGAGCCAATAGAACTCTGTTTCCGGTGACTTCGCCGAGAGGTGGTAGGCTCAGGTTGAACAGAGTTAACGTCGATAGAGGGCATGTGGATACATTCGAAGCCTGTCTTTGTCTCTCTATACTGCACTTGCATCCGATCTAGAACAGTGCGAATCTCTGTTTTGAGGACGTTTGGAGGCTTTGTCGATGTTGTTGCCACACTGTTGGATGGCTCAAGTTAGACCGCTGTATCAAGACCTAGAGCCAAAAACAGACCTGAAGAGACCCTTTAAGAACACCGGTTTGAAGTCCTTCTCATCAGTCTGCTCAATCTTAGACTGTTTATCATCGCCATTAGTCTGAGGCGATCCCACGTCCCCTTCATCCTCCTCTAAGACTTCGTCGACCTCATCAGTCCTCCCGAACATCCTTTCACCCGTTGATGGTCGACCGCCTGTAGTGAAACCGGTCGAAGGTCTTCGATGGCGGCCAATTGTACCGCCGACACTCGAGAACAAAGCAGCTCCGGTACTACTCCTCCTTTCATGCCGCGCTGTTCTCCCTTGAGGATCAAGAATGGTAGCCGCCCTCCGATGAGCAACACCAATCGGTTGGCTGTGAGAATATGTAAGACCGCCGGTGGCTGTTGGTGTAGCACTGGAGGCCTGGGTAGCTGAGGTTCCAGCTGCTTCATGTCCGTTCTCAACACCACCTCTCTCGTTGGACAGCTGTTCAACGCTAACTTTCTTCACCTCTACATTTGCAGTATCATGGTGTTTCTCATCCACATCTGTTGATGGTCTCGGTGAAAATGAGCTGAGGATACTTCCCCTCTTCACAGTTCCGTAACGGCCTGAGCCCTCCTTCGAACCGCCAAGTAAACTTCCAAACTTCCTCACCAATGTAGCACCAGCGGAAATTGGGCCAGACGGTCGACCATCGTCACCATGTTCTTCCATTTGTTCGGCAAACGTATGAAGCTCAGGTCCAGCCGTACGAGGACCATCCAAATTACTAGTTCTGATATTACCATATTCGTCCACCATATCTTGTGGTCCTGCTGGGACACCTGTGACTGTTCCACCGAACATACCGCCCCAACCCCGTGAAGGTACACTGGGTCGCTGACTAAGACTGTGGCTACGTCGGTGAGTGGATGCTGGAGGCGCGCGAGGTAAAGCAGTCTTGGGGCCAGGGGAAACAGGAGTAACGACAGTAACATGTTGTGGAACATCACTCCTTCTTGTGACAGAAAGTGCAGCGTCTCTTGCACGAGGTTGAGGGAAGTTAGGTGTTGTGGGCGAAGGAGCGGCAGCGGATACATCATAAGACATTCCGGAATAATGAGATGTTTCGGGGGCGGGGAGTCGGGGGAGTGGCATACTATAATCTGGTTTAGAATTTGGAAGAATATCTTGTTGTTTGCGGACGGAGGGTTGAGAAAGATGCTTGGCGCTAGTTGGGGGAGGGGCAGGAACTTCGGTATGTTGCTCAGTACGACCATTGGATTCTTCAAGTGATAGTTGGCTGCTTGCAAAGTGTCCAGGGCCGTAAACCCTCTCACGTTCCATCTTCTCCCGAGCCAAGAAATAAATAGAAATAAGAGGATGAAAGCCATATGTGGGATCTGGTGGTTCTCGTTGAGCGTCGGTGAGTGAAGCATGAGACAGATGAGATTGAGATGTCGGGGGCGAGTGACTCATGGGAGAATTAGGAGGAGATGACGAAGGAGAAAAAAGCTTCCGACGGTAGAAATCAAAGCCAGAGAATCGTTTTGACTTCTTAGATGGAGATGCGGTGAGACTGCCATTAAGGTTGGATGTTGAACCATCGAAAGAAATAGCGATTGAAGAATTAGATAGAGATTCACCCCATGGGCGTGAGTGACCGTTGCGCCCATTGCCCATAGCTCGCTTCCGTTCCCAGTGCTGAACTGAACGGAAATAAGCATCAGACTCAAGAACCTCAATTAACCTGCGCTCAATCTCCTCCTCAGTGCCAAATTCAAATCCTTTCATGCCCTTTATCACCTGTCTATCAAGCTCGTCCGCTCGTAGAGGCTCACGATGGACAAGGTGAGAATCCGGTGCGCCGCGATATCCTCTCGTCATCCAAGGATGATTCAAAACTTCTGACAATGGTGCTCGCGCAGCAGGATTAGTGACCAGCATTCGCGTAAGCAAATGTTTGCATTCTACGAAGCAACATATTGTTAAGAACGAAGAGTTAAGGAATACAGATATACACTCACCAGCGCTCAGCCAGACAGGATACTCCACTAATCCACGCTTGATCTTTGCGTGAAGTGCGGGCATGCTTTGGTCATCGAAGGGTACCTTGCCACAAACTAAGACATATAGTACCACCCCAAAACTCCATACATCGACCTCGGGTCCGGTGTAAACTTTGGCATTCAGTAGTTCTGGAGCAGCAAAGTACAGTGAGCCACAGAAAGTTGACAGGTGGGATGCTGGATCGAAGAGATTTGATAAACCAAAGTCGATGATCTTAATGTTGCCAGTCTGAGATATGAGAATGTTCTCGATCTTGAGGTCTGTAGGGCGAGGGTTAGATATGATAGTGAGGAATGGGTAAGTCAGTGCTGAGCTGACCTCTATGGACAACATTGTTCTTGTGGCAATAGTCGAGTGCACTACCAATCTGCCTGGCGAACTTTCGTGCTACTCGTTCCCGCAGTCGTCCATGACTGATGATATAGTCAAGCATTTGACCTCCATTAATGTACTCAAACACCATGTAGTAATGGTGTTGATGCACAATCATCTCGCGCATCCCGCAGATGTATGGGTGGTGTAGTAACATTGACAGAGCGGCTTCACGTAAAGTACGGATCTCCTTGGAAGCATCTTTGGCAGCTTGCTTTGCAGCAGCATCAGGGGACATGGCAGTGGAAGCAGTCCCGCTCCCGGGAGAGACGCGAGGAAGGATTTTGACAGCAAGCTGCAGGACAGTTGAGGTCGAGGGGACAACGAATCGGGTGAATAAATGTGCATACCTTTTCCCCAGTTACATTGTGGTGTGCAAGCTTCACTTTGCCCATACTGCCCGCACCAAGTGTCTTACTCAGAGTGTAGTCTCCCAAGATCCTGTTGGAACTCCTCGGCTTCGTTGAAGACGAGCCATCTTCTCGACGTCGAGTAGCGTCTTCAGGACGATCGCGCTCGTTTGCTGCAGTCGAAGGAACATAATGCTGCGGCTGTACTGGAGGCATTGAAAGCGGACGTTGTCTGTTGGTGGAAGTCGCCCTCCTGGACACAGGAGGCTGGGAGTTCGGCTGTGATGTCTCCAGCGGTAATTGAGACTGTTCTTTTACTGGCGTTGGTGGTTGTGGTATAGGAGTTGTACTAGCAGCAGAATACGTATTTTGAGAGATAGGAATATCGAACTCGTGGCCGGGAACGATCCCACCATGAGAAGGTGTGATAGCGCCCACGTCTGAACCCTGATCGACCTGGGAAGTCGTTGAAGATGCCGTCGTCGCCATTCACCGACTACCAGAGTGGTGCAATTAGAGGGTTCGTCGATGTGTTGAGTGGTGTTGACGGCGGACGCGGTGGCTAGAGGCAAAGGCGGGGTTGATGAGACGTGATGCCAATTTCGGACAAATTCACGAGTTCGGACCTAAATGGCAAAAATTAAAATTCCATCATATGTTCAAATCTATTATTCTGAACATATCCACCGAGATGTTCAACATCGAGGAAGACTCAGGAAGTACGAATCTTAGCAGCTGGTGTACAATAATATCCATATAAATAATATACACAATGAACTATCCGAGACTATCCACTAAAAGAGCATGTAGGAA